AGTCACTATCAATTTGACCATTTTTGGGGAGGGAGATGCGGTGGCGTGAAGTCGGTAGGTTAATAGGGCCGATCGAGGGAGCAAGTTCGTCGTCAGTGAAGGTCGTGAGTGGAGGTTGGGATACGTGCTCGATGGTTCTTCCACGACCTGCTTTTTTTTCACAGCAGCAACTGTATTCCATTTGTTTACAATTAGAAAGATAAAAACCATGTATAATGGAAGCTATTTACCGTGGTCACGTAGGTGGGTGTGGTAAGGTAACCCATGTGCAAAATTTTAAAAGTGGGGATGGGTGTGTGCAGAGTGTGTATGATATGATTTTAAATTAAAAAATAATTATAACCTAATTTTAAAAGAAAACAATTTGTACCTGAATTTCGAAATTGGAAATTAAAATGTATGAATTAAGGTAATTTTTCCTTTTTTTTTTTTTTATGTTAACTTCCCTATTCTCAACCGTAACAAGTCGGCAAGGAAAATGGGATCAATTTTCAGGTTTTCTATAATCCGGCATCGTAAAAATGAGATGAAGAGTAATTAACCCTATCTAAGCATCTTTTCAAGATCAATCTCTCAAAATTCTTCAAAGTCAAGTTGGATGGCAGATTAAGTGAATCTACTATATCAGCAAATTTAGTAGTTGAATAAAAACATCAGTTAAGCAACTCAATCGCCAGATTTGGACTCTGCAGATAACCTGTTCTTGACATCAGCTTCTCTTTGTCGCAATCCTGGGATATCAACTGTAACAAAAGAATGTTCGGTGACCAATGTGATGCTGGAATATCTAATTTAGACTAAGTCATGGTCATAATCTTTATGTAGGATTTTGAAGTATTTAGACTTGAGATTGATCAGACAAAAAGTACAGACAAGATCGATTCCCAGTACATTATTCCGATGGGTCTACATAATAAATGTGACAATGACAATACTTGATAAGAAATCTACAGCCTAGGTGCAACACGGGGGTTATCCCACGGAGTCCCTATATGGCCACGGGTGATCTCCTTGATGGAGCGACAACCGCTCAAAGCCATGGTCAGCTCAAGCTCATCGTGAAGCATCTGAAGTACTTTCCTTACACCTGCCTCACCATCAGCGGCTAATGCGAACACAACTGGCCTTCCAATCTGTCATTATGATAAATTTTGTGTTCAGAGAATGATTATCAATTTGAACCTTATGTTCCATAAAAGTGACTGCCAAGATTTGTACCATTCCAACAAGCTGGGGGACAAACATGATCACAATTTTCAGGTGTTCTAAAATACGGTGTTTGTAAATATGGAAAAGTAAATAACATTAAATTGCTTATTGGAAGCCAATGCCTTGTGTGTTAGCCAAGGCGACATTTCAGCAAGAGTATACTTACAAATACACCGGATGCCCCAAGGGCCAATGCTTTAAAAACATCTGTTCCACGTCTAACCCCACCGTCAAGAAAAACAGGCACTTTTCCCTGTACTGCTTTCACAACCTACAAGTTTTCATACCACAATGCATTAAAAATTACAAGATACGATTTTAAGAACATGTGAAAATGGGAAATAAGAGATGAGGGATGATGGAAAATCCATAGAGATTGAGCCAAAAAGTTAGATGTTTTTGTAATAACTTTAGTCACACAATTAATTATCAAAATAATTAGCTGTTACTTATTAATAATGTTCAATTTAAAACCAAAATTTCAGATTAGGGAAATTTATGTAGAATTACTGTAGTGTGAAAGTTAGTAAAGAAACCTCTTCCAATGACATTATAGTTGCAGGGACATAGTCAAGTTGTCGAGCCCCGTGATTTGACACAATAACTCCAGCTGCTCCAGCTTGTACCGCTAGACTTGCTAAAAATGTGAAAATAATGTAGATTATACAAGATTATTAGGGAGTTGAGCAACTGGAAATACTGTTAATCATTTGTATGGTACAACGCCTACCATCTTCGGCAGTTAGCACACCCTTTACTAGAATTGGCAATCGAGTGATTGTCTGGAGCCACTTCACATCCTGTAAGGAATTCCCAAGAATATCGTTTGACACTTTATGCCATTGTTCAGGTAATGCAAAGAGAGCAACGACAATTTTACCTTCCAGCTAAGAGATTGGTCAACTTGTTCAGCAGCATATGAAGCAAGTCCAGAGTCATCAGTCTGCAGTCATCCCAATATCACTGTGATTAAAATAGATAATACATAAAAAAAAATTATTATTGTTAAGAAGTAATCTTATTCACCCTATCTATCTTTCCAAGATCCAATCCCTCAAAATTCTTCAAAGTCAAGTTGGATGGCAAAGTGAATCTGTTACATCAGCAAATTTAGTAGTTAAATAAAACATCAAGCAACTGAATCGCCAGTTTCGGTCTCCACAAAATCACCTGTTCTTGATATCAGCTTCTCTTCGTCCCAGTCTCGGGGTATCAACTGTAAGGGCAATTGCCTTGAAACCAGCCATTTCTGCCCTTTTCACAAGCTGTTTGACAACATTCCTATCTTTGTAAACCTAATTAAAAGAAAAAATACCTGTAATCAGCCGAAATTTATAGGAGTCGCGCATTTGAAAACCATAATAACTATAAAAATGAGAGTCAAATATCATAATCATCCTTGATTCAGGTGCTCATTTAATATACAGTGGCAATGAGATATAAAACACTTGCAAGTTTTTTTGCTACTGGCCAAAACAACGAGAGAAGCAAATAGCAATTGGATTAACAAACAAATTGAAGTGAAACTCACATAAAGTTGGAAAAATCGAACGCCAGGTCCTGTTGAGGCAACTTCTTCAACGCTGGAAGTACCCCATGAGGATAATGTCTGTAATATGCAATCATGCATCAATCAGTAGCTCAATAATAGTAATCATGTTTAAATCTCTAGATATAACCAATTATAAATAACACAGCACGTAGAAAAAAATAAAAAAATAAAGGTCCCTAGAAATCCAAACCATGATGGTGCCAGCAGCTGATGCTGCTCTAGCTGTCGCGAGCTCTCCTGCAACAATGTAAAATTAGGTTTCAGAGAAGGAATAAGAATCTCAATCAAAGGAGAAAGACTTCTGTAAAACAAGTTGTCAAAGACTAAGTTTAAAAAAAATTTAATACGTCCCCTTTGTGACAGCTTAAGCTTTAAGATGAGGCGATTCAATATGGTAATTAAGCAAGCAAAGTTGGTTCAAATCACGCCACCACCTATTTGTAAAAATTATACGTGTCAAGCTTTTGATAAAAAATGAATCCGGTCTGCATGTGAGGGGTTATTGAAGACTAAATTTAAATAAATAAACATGCATTTTTATATGATAGCTTACACTTTTAGAAAAGGTGGTTCACTACATGTCAACGATTGAGCAATGGTATCAATCAAAAACACAAAGAACCTAAGCGCACTACACAAGTCAAATGCATCTTATAAGTAAATCAGTTAGAGGAAATACATCAGGAAGTGTTTCCATCCATAAATTATGAGTTGCATCTCTACAACATGTTAAGATGTCAAATGGGAAAATACATAATATGAAAATCCATTGAAGGTCACTTAAATTTTGTTCCGGATCCCAGAAATTCAGGCATGCTCACTGCATCACTTAGCCAGATCTTACAGGGAGTTTAAGAAGAGCTATCTATACCTTCAGGGTGAGCCATTTTCTGCATAGCTGTTGGAGCGACCATGATAGGCATTGAGATCTTGAAGCCCAAGGTGGTTGTGGTTGTATCAATGTTGCTAACGTCAATTAGAATACGAGGCCGGAACCTACGTCAAATAAAGAACACAATTTTTAGAGGCAAATGATGGAAAACACCTAAAAAGAAGAGTAAACTCAAAATAAATCTACAAAAGGAGAAATTGGAAAAGATATTGACGCTTCATTTGTATGCTAATTGAAGATGGAGACGTATTACAGTATTCTAGAGAAAGCATTTCGATTCTCTTGAAGAGTCCATTGATCTTCTGCGCCAGAGGCATAATAGTCATAAACCATCTTTGATAGTTTCTCCCTTGCAATGGTCTCATACTCCATAACATTGGTGATCTCCATTTTCTAGAAAGTCTTGTTAACCACACACCAAGAATGTTCTGGCGTATCACTCAGATTCAATTAATGAATAACTAGTCTGCCTGAAGAAAATTTTAAAAACTTCATGCATTTAGAGGTGAAAAAAATGTAAGATCATCTTGTATCAAGCAAGGAAATCATAAAGAGAGAGAAAAGGTAATCTACAAATTTAATTCAAAATTAGAGGCCAACGCTAAGCATCAAGATTAAAAAATGTGAAAAGGGAAAGAGAATAGTTCAAAGTTCAAACTTGAAAACAAGTTCAAAATGACTTGTGTGCATGTTGAATCCTGTTTTTTTAAAGATTGAATATCAGCTTCATGAGGTCATGACAAAGAGTTTCGATCATATATGATATACCTACAAGAGCCTTGTGCTGAGTCTTGCAGTTATATCCTAAAAGGTTAATCGGAATAGATCAATCTTTTGTAATCCCCGTCTAGCCAATATGGCACTTGTGTTCTACATGTCCACCATCTTGTGCAGAGGAGCTTTCAACATAAATTTTCTCTAAATAAAAACTGGTTCTATCGTTAATTTTGATATTTATAAAATTTCTTGAATTTTACTGCCCACAGACCAAATTAATGATAAAGATGATCACCAAAACTTCATCCAAATATCTGTAGATTAAGCCCAATTTATAAATAACCTATTAAAAATACAAGAACAAGCATAAAACTGCAAAACCACTCTCAGAAATTCGAATACTTTGCTTGAACCAAGACAAGTGCATATTAATCTGCGATAAAACGCAAAGGTGACGGAGTCCAGTGACCAATTTCATACGTTTTCAAAACCCAAGAAAAAAAAACCTATAACAAGAAATCAATTCATAATATCTGTAAGAAACAAATACATTGGTAATCATATAAAATATCAAATTCGATAAGACCCAGGTGACAGAATGAAACGTAGACATCAAAAAACTTATCTTACCTTAGATAAGCAGAACAAGAATGAAGAGTAAGAGAACAAACCCTTGAATGGGACGCCAAGCAAAGGGCTTCGCGAGAAGATCATATATAAATGAAAAAAGATGCAGAATCAGAGTGAGACAAAAGGAGCCAACTTAGAGAAACGGAAAGAGAAAAGAATGAATAATGTGGACAAAACGGTTAGTATAGGCACCGTTTTGAGATTTGTATGATACATTTGACAAATCAATAAAAGTTTGGAATTTTTCAATCTATTAATTATACTCTCTTTCTTTCTTTCGTTCTTCCTTTTTTTTTTCCTCGAAGGGATTTGGATGTAAATCACATTTTAATCCTATTTGTACAAATTATTAAGCTAAAAGCAGTAACGTGTCAAAATAGCTTAGCCGCTTGGACCCGCAAATTCCCGGGCTGCTAGCAGGCCATGTTACGAGCCCTTGGTATAGGATATAGACAGAATTGGGCTCATTAAGTCACGTCATCACTTGTAGTGAAATTGTTAATCGTGATATATTTTTATTTATTAGACAATGTGACAATAATATTAGGGTGTGTTTGATATGGAATATTTTTCATAGAAAATGGAATTCAAATTTCATTTTCCATCTTTTGACATGTTTGATGGTACAAATTTTCTTTAGAAAACTTTTTTCACAATTCCCTCACACATGTGCCAATTCCATAATTTGGTGGAATTTTCATGATTTGGTGGAATTGGTTTTTCCACCTTTTTGGTGGGATGAATTCCATGTTTCTGTTTTTTATTTTTATTTTTTAGTAATGAAAACAAATTTCATAACCAATTGTAAAATTTTTTTTTACTTTAATGGACAATTTCTATGTGAAACGAAGTCAAACGAACACTAAATNTCCCACCTTTTTGGTGGGATGAATTCCATGTTTCTTTTTTTTATTTTTATTTTTTAGCAATGGAAACAAATTTCATAACCAATTGTAAAAAAAAAAAAATTTACTTTAATTGACAATTTCCATGTAAAATAAAGCCAAACGAACACTAAACTTTGATTTAAAAAAATGACTTTTTAGGGAAAAAATTTCCTTTTTTTTTTATTTTTTTTTATTTTTTGGTAATTGAAACAAATTTTATAACCAATTGTGGAAAAAATTATCACATTCATGGACAATTTTTATGTAAAATAAAGTCAAACAAATACAAAATTTAAAAATTTTTCGGGTGCAAAATTATACAAATCAAACATACTTAATTTCCAATTCCCTGGAAAACAATTTTTAGGTAATTACTTTTCCTGTAATTCATTTTCTTTCCACTCATTTTTCACTCTTACAATCAAGCGGACCCTTACTGTTCAATTACCATTGATGAAAAGTAACATTATTCCACATGTTAAATGAACTAAAAACAAAATGTTTTGTTTGACGCCACTAGTCTTGAATAGTTTGAAAATTTTCAATCGATTATACTCCTTGTTCCCTCCCCCTCCATCTCTCTCTGGATTTGGATATAGATCAGGAACTCATGCAAGTTATTAAGCTAAAAAGCGATATTTTGTGTAAAGGGCAATTTGGAACCTTGGATAACCGTATCAAAATAGCATAGCCGCTTCGATCCGTGGAAGCCCGAGTTTAAATTTGTAGGACATTCCATAAGCCAACTTGCATAGAGGCCTATGATGTTAAAGACATCAATTTCGGTGCAAGATATGGAATGAATTGGGCTCGATATAGACCACATGACGTGAGTCACTTCTTTGCTTCGATGTTAACTGTGATGTGTCCACACATGGCGAGATAAGGATACCCATGTAGGTTTTCATTCTTCCTTTCTTTGATATTCCTAAAATATCCGACAAGACAAGCTAAAGGAGTGGGGGTGCTTCTCGAAAACCAATTGGCTTTAGCTGAATATCATAGGGTCTTTTCCTATTGTGAGCGTCCTTTCAGAGTTGGTGTGCTTCCTTAGTTGTGATAGTTTCTTTTCTTCGAAGCTGTCTCCTCACTAAGCTCTCTTCTTTTCTTTTCCTAATATCCAATTTTTTTTTTTTGGTGGAATCAATTTTCAATTTCGGTTATGGTGCGGACAAAGCCCCAGAGAGCCATGACCAAGATCTTCAAGGGCATGTTGCATAAGATGAAAATGTAATCAAGAGTTGAGACCCACCTCCAAGTGGTATTCAAAAGGTTGAAACACAAATTGAAGATGAACCCGTCCTATTTTGTTAGGAATCGAGGATTTTTATGTACATCCATGCATTTACGATTCATGTGACGATATCGATACTCCTCAAATGTGTTTTATTTGCTCGTAACTCCCGTTTGATACCGAATAAAGCAAATCTTGATTTTCGTTTTCCTTGTGATGGACTTGGAATAGGGGGTACATGTTAAGTATCGGCTTTGGATCATGTCTTCTTAGGACTATTCTAGATGTACAATTTCATTTTGGTAGTAGTATTCCATTTCAGTTGAAAATGTTGTTCGATGTTGGGGACAATATAAGTGATCAAAATGTAGTAACTCATATAATAGGAGAAAACTTCGCACTGCATTTATCACTATTGTTTTTGGAAATCGAGCCTCGCTAACAATTAAAAGAAGATCCGACGATTGTGTAAGGAACAACAATCTCTCGAGACAAAATCCCAACGGGGGGTGTTTTATTTATGAAGATTACAATTTGGAAGAAGGGAAATGCCTCCAAGGGGCACAAGCACATTGAATTCGTAAAGTAATTGAAAGTTAACAAGAAGAAAAGAAATAAAATTACATAATTCTCTGTTTGAGAGTCATTTTGATCATCCCTTCTTCTAAATTCTTCTTTCTCTTTTATACTTATTGATAGTTTTTTCATGTAGAACCATTTGAAAACTGCTCATCGCCCTGTA